AAAGCTTCTACTAAGTAACATAAGAATCCATTGTCTAGGTGGTTCGGAAGCATCTGGTACTGAACTCGGTAGGGCAGACTACGGTTTGATCCCCCGCATCTTGCAATTGGATAAAAGAGGTTGCCACATAATTGTGCTAGACAACGTCGTGTTTTGATCAGAACCACTAACCGGCTATTCCACTACGTGCGTGCAAGGATAATGGGCTTAATGTGATTGCGCAAGAACGAAACCGGGTGAAATATGAACGAGAAACCTTGAGTTGAATTATAACGGTATAATTGGACGCTTCATTTAAAACGGATAGTCGTCGACTAGCTTGTTGCTTGTATCATTTACGTATCGTTGTTGTTTCATTCGATTCTCTCGGCCGAACTAACTTAGGATTTCTTGAAATTGTTTGAAAACGAAAGGTATACTAGTTATGTGCGTTTATAAAAACTTGTCCGATATTTTTACTTGATTATTTTGCTTGAGGACAAGCAAAGGTTTAAGTATGGGGGAGTTTGATAACACGAAATTGTATCGTTTATTTTCCATGAAATTTACCCGTTATGTATTATTTTGACCCGATTAATCCCCGAATATTTCGAGTTTGTCATTACTTTTTGCAGGTATTCATAACTCAGCTCAAAACAGAAGAAAACATGAAACAATGCAAGAAAGCATCAAAAGAACAGAAGAAAAAGATAAATCTGTCAAAGAACTGCATTTTTGTAGCTGTGACGGTCGTAATGTAGCTGCCACGACCGTAAGCCATCTTGAAGAGTGTTACGACCGTAACACAGTGGCCACGACCGTAACACGGGAAAGACCAAAGCTGCTCGTAACGCTCATGTAACGAACGTAATGCGTATATCAGTTTACTTGGAAAATGCAGAACGTGGCAAGCATAACAGAAGGAGTTTCCAAACTCCTTAATTCTCTCCAGTCAAACTCCACGTTCACCATTTCTTCCTCAACTACTCACGTTCCTACATTCTTGGAGATTTTCAAGGAAAGCTTAGTTACAAGTTTTCAAGCCAACTGCCAGATTTTATTCTTCTATAAATACCTCAACATTCAACGTTAGAAGGAAAGAGTTTATTACAGCTTACTTGTGCGGAAGCTCTGCCAAAATCAAAACCAGTATTATTTCAGTTATTATTTTCCAGCATTTGTTTATTTCAATTCTTTTAATTCCACTGTCCAAGTAATAATTTCCAACATCAGGGAATTATTATTATAGTTTAGGATTTATCATTCAAGCCTCAGAATTTACCATATTACCGATACCAAGTCCGAGTTTCTGATTTGTGGAAGAAGGATTGAAGTATTGGCTTTACTTTCAGGTTTCTATTTTGCAATTGTATTAAATTCATTTTAATTAATTAATTAATGCATGCTTATTATTTATTATTTATAATGTCCAATTTATATTTGTTTGTTTTTATTTACAGTATGTTTATTATAATTTCCATGGCTAGCTAAACCTTTAGTGTCGGTATGGGATAGTAAGAGACATTAGGTATCTGATCAAACTTAGGCTAAAACTTTAATCAACTTAACTCTGGTTATAACTTTTTGTGCTTAACAATAAAATCTTTGTTACGAAAGTAAGAAGAGTAAATAGGTTAGATCGAGACCACGAAAGTGTGAGGTTTTTAACCGGATAGCTAAAGTTAGGCATTTGATTTAAATACAATGAAAGCGCTTTAAACCAAATTAGAATTAATTAAGTTTTCAAAAAATACTTCTAAACACTTATAGGCTAGCGAAAGCAGGTATAGGGCTTTAGACATATAATCCGAGATAAGACCATGAAAGTGTGAGTTGAGGGTTTTTAAACTGATTAATTCTACAGATAAACCAAGTTGACCATCCTTATATGCCTAGGTCCGATTAGATCCTTTAGGTCGACTCTATTGCATACCGACCATTTCGTTTTATAATTACTTTAAAATCAATTAATTTACCTTCCTTAATCTTCCCAAAACCAACGTGACAATTTCCGCCTTAGCTAAACCAACCTGTTTTACAACACTAGCGTGATTACAAAGTCCCTGTGGATTCGACAATCTTTTATTACTACCGCGATAGGCTGTGCGCTTGCAGTTATGATACCGTCAGACATAAAGTCGATCGTAGACCCCATCAATCTCCTGAGAATAAAAAGAAAAAAAGGGAAAATTTTCAGGAATAAACCTCATAAAAATAAGGATAATTATAAAAACTCTTATAAGAAGAATAAGAAAAAGGGTCACTTTAATAAAAGTAGACCAAAAGAAAAGACTTTTAATCATAAAGGAAAAAGAAAAGCTAAAATGTTTGATGTATCTTGCCATAAATGTGGTAAAGCTGGTCACTATGCAAACCAATGTTAGACCAAAAAAACTCTCAATGAAATCAAGGATGAGCAATTATGCTCTCAACTTGAGAAAGTTTGTTTATTTAAATCTGACTCAGAAACCAATTCTTCTAATGAAGATATTGACATGATCTATGAATCATCATCATATTATTCCTATGATAGTTCTGACAATAATAATTGTCAATGTAATCAAATAGATTATTGGAAGTATATTGTTGACATGAACGGTCTTAATGTTCTTACGACAGAACAAGATGAAGCTATAAAAGTTGTTGAGTCTCTTTCTGATAATATTCTTAAAAGAAAAATGCTTTAAGTTTTAATTCAAGAAAACTCTAAAAAAGAAGCTTATATTATTATTGAAGCCCCTTACCAATTAAGTGAGGTTTTATCCAAATTTCAACAGTCCCATATCCGTGAAACTCATGTTTCCCTTACGGATTTAAATAGAGAAATTAATCTTTTGAAATCTGAAATTACTCAGATAAAGAAGGATAATAAAAAATTATATCAAAGGGTTTCCTTGCTTGAAATTGGTACCTATAAAGTTGAAGAAATATCTTCTACTAGCAGTCTTTCCACTAATGATAGATTTCTCACTCTTATTGACAGAATAATTTCTCAAAAATGGTTTGTTAAAATAACTTTAGTTATTAACATAACGTTTATATTACAGAATGAATTTGTCCTTATTGATAGTGACACTGATCTTAATTGTCTTCAGGAAGGAATTGCTCCTACTAAATATTATACCAAAACCACTCAAACCCTTGCTCAGGCTAGTGGTGACAAATTAATGGTTAATTATAAATTACCTAATACCTACGTTTGCAATCAAGATATTTGTTTACCTACCTATTTCATATTAGTTAAAAACATGACTCACAGAGTTATTCTTGGAACTCCTTTTTTAAATAGCATTATGCCTTTAATAAATGTTACACTAAAGACATCGCCACCATGATTAATGGTAAGACAGCCACTTTTGATTTCATTACTGATCCTCATATTAAAATGCTTAATGAGGTCAAAAGTCTTCTTTTAAATAAAGAAAAACAATTAGGTTTTCTTAAAGAAGAAGTTAGTTTATTAAATATTAATGAACAACTTAATAAAGATGAGATAAAAGGACAAATCAAATTAATTGATCAATAGTTTAAATATGAAGTATGCAATGATTTGCCAAACGCTTTTTGGGATAGAAAAAAACACGTTATTTCTTTACCTTATCTTGATGACTTTAGTGAAAGTCAGACTCCCACTAAAGTAAGACCAACCCAAATGAATCATGATTTTTTAAACCTATGCAAAGAAGAAATAAATTCTCTTTTAGAGAAAGATTTAATTAGAAAATCTAAATCTCCTTGGAGTTGCACTGCTTTTTATGTTAATAATGCTGCTGAAAGAGAACGCGGCGTTCATAGACTTGTTATCAATTATAAACCCCTTAATAAGGTGTTGAAATAGATTAGATATCTTATTCCTAATAAAAAAGATTTATTAGATAGATTAAACACTGCTTTAATCTTTTCTAAATTCTATATGAAATCTGACTATTGGCCAATTCAGAGTAATGAATCTGATAAGTATAAAACGGCCTTCATTGTGTCTTTTGGATATTTCGAATGGAATGTCCTCCCGTTTAGGCTAAAGAACGCCCCTTCCGAATTTCAAAATATTATGAATGATATTTTTATTCCTTATACGGAATTTATAATTGTTTACATTAATGATGTTTTAGTTTTTTCTAAAACAATTGATCAACATATGAAACATTTAAAAATATTTAAGGGTTTAGTTAAGCATAATGGATTAGTTATATCCGCTCCTAAGATGAAAATATTTCAGACTAAAATTAGATTTTTAGGCCATGAAATTGATCAAGGAACTATTATTCATATTCAAAGAAGTATTTAATTTGCTTCTAAGTTTCCTGATATCATTACTGATAAGAACCAATTACAAAGATTTCTTGGTAGTCTTAATTATATTATCGATTACTATGAGAATCTTGCCAATGATACTGGTATATTACATGCTAGGCTTAGAAAAAATCCTGGCTCTTGGAGTGATAAACATTCTCAAGCAGTCCGAAGAATTAAAAATAAGGTTAAATATTTGTCTTGTTTATCTCTGACTAATCCTAAGTATTTTAAAATCGTTGAAACTGATGCTTCAGACTTAGGATATGGAGGAATTCTAAAACAGGTTATACCTGAAACATCTAAAGAAGTTTTGGTTAGGTTTACTTCTGGTAAATAGAATCGTACTCAGTCAAAATATTCGACTATCAAAAAAGAAATGCTTTCTATTATAAAATGTGTTTCGAAATTTCAAGATGATTTACTTAATAAATCAATTACTGAAAAAGATGTTAAAAACCTTGTTGCAAAACAAGTATTTGCTAGCTGGCAATCTCAATTATCGATGTTTGAATTTGATATTAAACATATTAAAGGTGAAAATAATTCACTTGTTGATTATCTCACTCGTAAATTTTTGTAGGGAAAGAATGACACCCTCATCTAGGAGAGGAAGAGGCCACGGTTATGGACGAGGCCTTGGAAGAGGGAGTAACAATATGTTACCCCAAAGTGAATTAAACATTCCCCTTATAGGGAATTGGACTACAGTCTATAAAGGTAGAAATATGCAACAATTACCTACCTCAAAAAAGGAAGATATGCCTTCCTCTTCATCTTCTAAAAAGATTATATCTTACAAAGAAATTACGGTCAATGACCCACTCGAGAACAAGTAACTGATTATTTTGAGAATCCAATTACAGAGAAAATTATGTATATTGATGACGAGGATCTAAAAATAAATCCAAATGATGGATGAGCTATCAAAACAAGATACCTCGAATCAAGAGGATATCCAGGCCTTCATGGTAAATCAACACCACATTTAGAAATATTACTAGCAGTTGCCGAATCAACAACTTTTACTCATCATTATCAAAACAACAATCCTGAAAGTTTCATAAACTTCAGCAAATGCCACATTAATAAGATCTTATCACCTAGAGAATGGGGTCTTAACCCTAATGGTGAAAAGGCAATAAGAATTGCCGAAAGAAAATATATTTATTTTAATTATTGGGACTATGTCCAGGCTTTCATCCAAGCCTTTTATTACCAAAATCCTAAGAACAAACATTCTTGGTTTTTCTCAATTAATCCAAACGTGATTAATAGACCTATTTCAAATTGGTTTTATGTCTGGTGGATTAAATTTGGTCCTACGTTGAAATTTTTGCCAAAAGAGCTAATTGAATTGTATACTCATTGGTGCGAAAATAATCCACTAGTGTTAAATATTTCATCAAATTTGATAACTGGACAATATACATTTCTTCTCTTCACTAAGTTTTAAGTTCTTTGGATTTGGAGATGGACTATCATTATTTCCAATGACAATTTTAATGTCCCGATTCTAGAAAGAATTTTTTTCTACAAATGGTGGAATAAAATGAATTTAGAAGACATCCAAGACAAAATTGTTCTAATCAAATTAGCCATGAGTGAAGACAAAAATAGCAATGTTAGAGATCAAAACTGCCAACAAATGTCTATGAGAGACTTGAAAAACTTTTTACAAAGAAAGTATTCCAACGAAACAGAAGAAGAAATTATGGTCAGGACTTTAGATCATATGAAGACTCAATTCTTCTACACTTTCCAATCTCAAGCTTCAAAAGATGATATGCAATCTATGAAGACCAGTTCATCCATGAGATCAATAGATTCCAACACCTTTGAAGATTTAGCTGAAGAAGCTCAAAATGATGACTCCACAGCTGAAGACTTCTGGGATGCTATGATTCAATCTATGGTCCAAAAGACTAAAGAAAAAACCAAAGTTAAAACAATGACAATGGACTAAGCAATGACAAGAATTGTCCAGAAGCAATAATTTCAAACACAAATATGAGAGAAAATCTTATCTTGAGACAATAAAATAAAGATAAGAAAGAATCTTATCTTGAAACAATAAGAGATAATCTTATTTATCTACTTTTTGTTGTTTGTGAATTATTATTGTATCGATGGGACCCAGTGTGTACCCAACATTAATAATTCATCTTTATTTGTTATAACTGACTATCATAGATAACTATTACCGACTTAAATAATAAGTCTTTGCATCCCTATATAAAGGAATTTTTATTTCCTTTGTAAGCATGCAATTTTCAAATACAACAAAGTTTTGTATATATACTCTACTTTCTTTGTATCATAAAATACTTATAATTTGGATCCTAATTCCGCTGCCAAATCCAATTTCTGGTATCTATATATCATAAATGTACAAATAAACATTCTCTACATTTTCAAAAACCATATGGTCCTGCTCCTTTTTAATTCAAACAAGTATTTGTCGGCTCTCTTCATGCAGTCACACGAGTGAACACTCCGGCGCTTTATTAGACCTTGACTCTTCAATCTTTGTGGCCACCTCTGACACAACAAGCTTGGTGAGAAACAGCCCTGCTATTAAAGCTGAACCCATCAGCATTGTGAAAACTGCACTCCAGCTTTTTGCCGAGATGTACCCTGTTAATAAAGGTCCAATTGCAGCCCCTATAGAACCAGTTCCATCGATAATAGCCGTGACTGTTGCTAGAGCGCGTGAATTTCCCTTCAGTGACTTGTGTGTTCCCAGGTCAGCCGAAACTGCTGTTGTTATAAGAGCGTAAGGCCCGTTTACAAACATGCCGGTGAGAAACATCAATGTTCCATTTACAAGCAATGAAATGTGGCCATAGGTTCGATAGAAGAAGAGTGCGGGGATTGCACAGTACATGAAACTTGCTGCTGTTATGGCTCTAGCATTTAAGCGGTCAGAAATGTGACCGGCTAGAATTCCTCCAAGCACTCCTCCAACATCAAATAAAGTAGATAATGAACCTGATGTCTCACTGGATAGATATTTTCCATCAATAGCTGCATTATATAATCAGCATGAATTAGAAACTAAACATTTTATTAACAAGTATATTATTAGATTGGAAATGTAAGAAAGTTGAAGTACCTGTGTGGCTAACATAGAATGGTAACCAATAGAGAAAGGTATATGCAACCAATTTGGCAAAGAAGAGACAAAAAGCAAAAGGAGCAACCCCTGGAATTTTCCATGCCTCTAGGAACCCTACCGCTTTCTCTTTCTCTTGTGCAGGAGTCTCTTGCCTTAAGAGAGATTCTGTGACATCATCTCCATCTCCACTTTTCTTTGGACAAGTATAATCATCTTCCTGGACTCCAGCCAAGTCAGGCGAAACAGGCAATATGACAAAAACCAGGAAACCGAGGAAAGACATGATTAATCCTGGCACAAGAAAAGACCACCCCCATCCATATCCTAGCATAGCAGAAGCAATCAAAGAACCAGCAATGTTACCAACAGAAGTATGAGCATTCCAGATACCCATGATCAAGCCTCTCTTTCTCTTTCCAAACCAGTTACCCAAAACAGCAACTACGGATGGCCATCCAGTGGATTGAAACAATCCAGCAATCATTTGAAGAAGCAAATAATAATAGAAATTGTGGATATTTCCCCAAAACCCAAAACCAAAAAGGGAAGTGAAAACACCAGTTCCTACCATCCCAATCGTTAAAAAAATCCTCAAATTACACCTGTCACCAAAATGTCCAGAAAAGTACATCCCAAAAGCATACACTGCGAGAAAAGCAACATCCAATTGGCCAAGAAGCAATGTCCCGTCGGATCCATTAAAAGGTGCCCAACCATCACCAAGGTTGGAAGAAAGTGTTGAGCGAGTGTGATTTGTTACTAGCCAGAAATTGAAACCCAGATTGGATGATGATTGGGGATCAAGAACACTCTTTACAATACTTGTGGTTTTTCTAGTGGCATGATAACTAGCATAAGCTAAAAAAGTTACAATCAAAACAATCGCTTGATGGGTTTTGAAGGAAACAGAACTTCCTTTTAAATACTCGAGGAACCTTATCCCAACCAGTTTATTACTACTTCTCTCAGACAAAACCTCTGCTGCTGCTGAACCCATCTATTCAACAAAGAGTTCACTTCAGTTTCCCTTTAACAAATCCAACTGCAACAAGATCAATTAATAAGCAAACATTAGATGAATTAACGAATAATAAAATACTGTGATTTTAATAAAATCTATTTGACAATAATATAAAAATTTTAATTAAGAAAAACCAACTTAAACAGGTATCAAATTAAAAAGAATAGGATACCGTATCAAAGTGAATTTGGAAATAGAAGAAGAAAATCAGCAGGTTCCAAGTTTCTTTCAACGGGTTTAATCAACAAAATTCTAACATCTTTACAGTTACTTACTCCAAGAAGAAACAAACGCGCACCAGAAATGAAGGGTGAAGCAAAGTGCAATAGAGATATATATTTAAAAAGCAAAAAGTAGAAAAGAAATCATCGTACCCGTCAATAAAAAACGAGGAAGTTGAGAGATTATTGTGTTGTTGTGCGTTGGATATTGTGTAAGGTTTCAAGAGTTTGGTTCTCACCTTTTGAAAACTTTAGCGAGAAGCTTCTTGTTTTTGAGTAACAAAAACAGAGAAATGCCAAATCCATACGCCAAGAGAGGCAGCATATGCCTACTTATGCTGTCAAGATAATATTTCTTTTTTCTTTTTTAATTTACTATTATGCCCTTTTATAACTAAAACTGCTGCCAGCCACCAGTATACCGTAACTCAATTGAATTGACGCTAATGTCCTCACTCCTTCCTTTATTTATTCAAGGAAAGTTAAGTTAAAGTCTTCTTTCATTCAACAAAGAGTTTCAATTTTAGACAAGTTAAAGTCTTCTTTCATTCAACAAAGAGTTTCAATTTTAGACAAGGTAATTAAAATCGGACCACATATCAAACTTATAGTTTAAGGTTTTAAGATTTGACACGGATTCAACCCGGGTTGAATCGGTTATATATAAAAATAATAATACATAAAAATAATTATATTTTAAATAATAAAAAAATTATTGATAATATTTTAATGTTATTTGTGTATTATTTTAATCTCTTATTCATATCCTTCTTTATAAAATATTTAAAAAAATTGGTTAAATATATTTTTCATTCCTATAATTAATTTAAATTCCATTTTAATTCTTATAAAAAAATTTTTTTGATTAATGGTTCTCTTAAAAATTTCCATCCATATTTTTAGTCTCTCTTGTTAAAATTATCGTTAAAGTCGTCACCAATTCAGTCGTTAAAATCGCCGTTATTCTGTCGCTACGTTGTAAAAAATTGTCGCTAATTACATGAGAGATCAAAAGTGTGGTAAAAAAATTTAAGAGGACCGTTATTTAAAGCAAATTTTTTTAGAGATTAAAAAGAAAATATGAAATATTTATGAAGACCACAAACATATTTAACCTTAAAAATGGTATCAAATCTCTAAAAAAATATAAGGTTAAATATATTTTTAGTCTTCATAAAAATCTCATTTTTTCTTTTAATCCCTCTAAAAATTTTCTTTAAAAAATATTCTTTCTAAAAATTTTAATTATAATTTTTGATTTCTCATGCCAAAATCATCGTTAATTCAATCGTTAAATCGTTAAAATCGTCGTTAATTCTATTATTAAATTGTAAAAACTGTTACTATTTGTAAAAACTGTTATAATTAACATATGTAACAGATGTAAAAACTGTTACTAAATTACAAGATCAAAAATTAAAATTAATTTTTTTTAAAGGAAAATTTTAAAAGAATTAAAAATTAAATATAAAATATTTAAGAGGACCAAAAATATATTTAATTTTTTTCTCTTTTCATTCGTTCACGGACACGGCAGCCGTGTAACACACTTAAGAATGCAGCCATTTTTACTTTTGGAAAATCTATTTTCAATCCCTAATCGAAGCCATGTTATCAAGCACACAATTTTTTATTAATATTTAAAATATTGGTGTAACAACTTCTCTAACATAACATCAAAAGTAAGTTTGGTAAACTAAAATATCTCATGTAGTATTCTCTCTATGGTTTGGACTTTCGATAAGATGTGCCTTGAAACTCAAGTTGGGTCTTATGTTACATTAGAGTGAGTAAGAGGAGTTAAGTCCAATAGAGAAAATAAGAGTTAGTAAGAGTTGTAAGACAAAATAGAATTCAAAGAGAATTATCAAAAAAATAGAAGAGGAGAAAAGAGGAGAAAAAGGAGAAAACAGAAGAGAAGAAAAAAGAACATAGAAAGTGTCTACATCTAAGGTAAGGGTGGGTATTCCTTTATTTATGGGTATATATAATGGTATGTAACTGGTAGGAACATGAAAATAGGAATTTGCTCTTCAATTTCTAGATTTTGACATGTTAGGATTTGAATGTGAAATCATGAAATTGATGTTAGAAATCATGTTTTGATGTTTGTATTTGATATTGTAATACCGTGGAAGAACTGACTTTTGCGTTTTATCGCAAATGTGTGGATAACTAGAGTCGCCACAAACTTTTCTTTTATCCAATAAGGAAAGGGTGAAAAGAACAGGAAAGACCTTCAAGATTTTGAGTTCAGGGGGTAAGATATGAAAAGGGAATGTGTTAGCACACTTTTCATCCATAGTTTTCTACGGGCTCTTAATTGCTAGCTCAATTTTGAAAATTTCTTTTTTGTGTAAGTGTTTGAAAATATTTTTAAAAAAAATCCAAAGTACGACTAACTTTGTAATGGTTCTTGTATCAGTCCTCAAGAACGCGTACAAAGTGTTTTTGAAAATATTTGTTTGAAAGTGTATTGTTTGTGAGAAAAGTTTGTGAGCGAGCGATTAACAGTCTTACCCACTCAAGTTCGTTCTTGTTATTTTCCTTCTCCTTTAGAGATAGTATTATTCGTACCATTAGTTAGTAGTAGGTAGCCCCATCTATTGGATGTGAAGGGACAATCGAGGATCATCGTATGGTCATTGAAGGAAACAAATAAGGATACTTTAGCAATTTATCAGAGGGACTAGATCATTTGTTCATAGGCAACATCGAAGGGTCATTGAGGGACTGTGATCTTTATTCGAAGAGACTTTGCTAAAGTATCCCTGTTTTTGAGGGATATGACCATTATTTCAAAAGGCAACGAAGAGAGGTTACCCTAGAGGTTCAAGTGTGCAAAGTGTGTTTGATTCAGTTATTTATCTTGAAATTAGGATTTTGCTATTGGTTAGTTTTAGTCTTGCCACATAAACTCTAATTACTAACAATTGCATAAAAAATATAATAACAGAAGATAAAGTGTGTAATGTAAATCTAAAGTTATTACAAGGCTTTCGGGCAATTACATAAGAATGAAATGCGAGAAATAAAATCTATAACTATTACATATTCGGAGCAATTACATAATAGAAAAAATATGGGAAAAGTAAATCTAAATTATTACATTAGAACGCGCCATATACACTTGATCTAGGAATGTAAATAAATAAGAAAAGAAAATAGAAAAAAAAAACAAAAGAAGAAGCTTGAATGTTTTGTTAGGGTTTTTTATGAAAAATGATTTAAGTTGATAATTAATTAAATAAAATCTAAAATTATAATTAATTAAAAAATGGTTAATTAATTAATTTTAAAAAAGGGTTAATTAAAAAAACTAAACCTAAATAATTAGGGTTTTAACAAAGGTTTGTTTTAGATTAATAAAAATAAATTAGGTTAGCCAAAAAAATAGGATTAGGGGAAGAAAAATCAAGGAAAAATAAGGTTAGAAACCAAAATAAGAAAAAATGCCAGGGGTGGGTGTTGAACCTACGCCCTCAAGCCTCTACCTTGCACCGTTTGCCACTTAACCATGTATTGGTTGATGTTTGTAGACTGAGCGCTACACAAAATATAATAAATCTGTGAAAATGGAAAATATAAAACAAAGTTACAAAAGGCAGGGATCAAACCCATGCCCTTAGACACTAATGCCTTAACATGCGTGCGCCATATCATCGGGATGGCTGTTACATCCGATAGTATTAGGAAAATAAATAAATATAAAATAAACATAAATGGATGGACCGAAGAGGCGTCGAAGCCCTAGCTCCGGTCGTCTTCTTCGGCGATTCGTTTCTTCAACCTGCAAAACAGTAATTGTTAGTGATCCAAAGGGTTCCTACCCCCCTAATTTGACCCTTGCAAGTTCAATGGTGACCTTGGTTTTCACTAGCTCTTCCTGTATAAAGAAATACGAAGCAAATATGGTAAATCGGTTCAAGAATGATAATCCCTCATCCTGGTATTATAGGATCCATGCGATGGGTTAAACCTGTATATTTACACCTCAAAAGCACGTTGGGATTGTTAGTTTCGATCAAAGCGTAATAAAAACGAAAATATGAATTTCATGCAAAAATAGAAATCAGTGATGCATGGATGCGAGTTTCAGGCTTCTCTGATCATCAAGAGTGATCAATACTTACTCTATAATGTCCCTGGAGTTGATTTGGATGGTTGTTTGCCCTTGAGGAAGGTTCTAGATAAGGGTTTCGATTTGCCCTAGTTTGACAAAAATTTGAAGTTTTGGAATGTGATTTTCTTGCAAGGTTTTCCTTGTCTCTCTTATCTGAATGAGAAGAATATATATAGGGGAAGATTAGGTTAAGGAATGGGCTTGGATACCTTACAAAAAAACCCTTTGATTTTTGTTTAAAAATAGAATTTGAATAAGATAAAACATGAGGATTTATTTTGAAAATAATCCCCACACGGTTTGCAGCATATCTTGGGCCTCCAACATGTTTGAAACAAAAGCCTTTTAAGCATTACATCTCCCTTTAATATTTATTTGATTTAATTTGAATTTAAATGAATAAAACCAAAATAAATTAAATAAAAAAATTAAAATGGTGTATGATTAGATTTAGAGGTTCATTATAAGGTCAAGAACACGTTTAGACTCTAAAAAGATAAGCCCATTAGCTCAAAAATTCAAGTTTGATCACTTTGGTTTTCATGCATTTTCTCAAAATTGCCCAACTTGTACAACCAATTACTTGCTCAATTTTTATAATATGAAGGTGATCTTGGACTTTTTGGAAATCA